CAGGGCGCCCCAGGCGCCCCCCCCACCGCCGCTCTGGCTCCTGCTTGCCCCGCGGTGGGCACAGCCCGCAGCGTCGCGGCCATGCTGAGGTGCTCGTCCCACCCGGGGGTTGGCCCCAGGGGTTGTTGGGGCGATGAAGGGGGCAGAGGGCAGCTGCTGCTCTCACCTCCTCCACCTTCGGAGGCGGAGGTGTCCATGCGTCGTGGGCTGAGCTGGCCCTGCCCTCCCCGCCCCAGCACGTCGGCGCTGCCCGAGGTGGCTGCCCTGTGGCCTTGGGGTGCGAGGCGATTTGGGGGGGGGAGGGGTGGCAGTGTTTTGGGGGGCTGGGACATCTCTGCCCAGGTTAGGGTTGCATTTCCCCCCCCACCCCACATCCCCGCAGCAGCCCAACCCCTGCCCCGGCCTCCCACCGTGGGGTCCCTCTGCAGCGGAGGGGGCGAAGCCTGAGGGGTTTTGTGTTCAACGTATTTTGAAAAAACGCTTGGGATGGGTTTTTGGGGGGGGCGGGGTGTCTGGGTTTAGTGTAGCTCAGCTCCAGCTGGGCACCGGCGGAGGGCATTAACCCCAAGCGGGATGGAGGGGGGCGAGATGAGTCGATCCGGGGTGGGTGCTGCCAGCAACGGAAGGCAAGAAGAGGTGGGGCGGCACGTAGGTGGCTTCTCCCTCTCATCCCGGGACAGGAGACCCCATCAAGGGACCGGTCCCAGGTGGGGGCCATGGTGGGGGGTCAACCCCCACTCCCTGCAAGGACTGCGTGCCCAAACACCCATGAAAGCGCCCCAAACGTACGCCTGCCCCCCTGGTTGGCCCCGGCCGATGGCCGTGCTCACTCCACCATCACTGCTCGACTCCAAGAGTTCCAAGGGCACGAGGGGGGCGGGACGATTGAGGGCTGTCACCTAGAGGGGTGCTCCAAGGGGTGTCGTCACTTTTCGGGGCTTGGCGTTCCAGCCTGCGCATGCTCCGTGCACCCTGGGGGCTGCTGAGGTCCCTGGGAGCCGGGTGCCACTGCCTTTGGGACGGTGGCCATGCCTTGGTCTCTCCATCACCAACGCGCTCTTCACCCAACGGGAGAGGCTTGGGGTTCTTC